TCAGGCTTGGTGTGATGTGATGTGACAGGGAACAAAAACTAAACAGTGAGCAAACATCATGAAGCTGTAGATCAGGTATAATAATAACATGTTATCATATAAAGGTTACCTGCAGTATGTCACTGTTTACAGAAACATCTGCTGGCATTTTTTGTGAATAAAAAGATGCCTTGATCAATAGTTTAATCTGAAGGTTAGAAGGGCCAGTCTATTGCTATTGATAAAAATGGCATTAAATTTCACTCCGTTTACCATCTGCTGCTTTTAAATCCTGAGTTTCTTTGTTTTTGGAATTCACCTGCAGCCGGCTGAAGTCACACGGAAGATGCTGAGGGACAAACACAACAAGAAGAACCCCACCCAGCCCAACCCCGTCTTCCCCAATTGGGTGTATGATCGTCCAGCTCTCATCGGAGACTTCATCACCAGCCCCACCCCTCAAGGAGAACCAGCCGTTCCTGTTGGTAAGTTGGTAAATTTACACATTCACCTGTGCAGCATGGAGTCTGAATATAGTCCCCCGGTGCGTATTGATGTGGTTACTGTCCGTGGTCAGGTACGCTGCCTCTGGGGACGCAGGAACAAGCTCTGGTGGAGGATCTGCTGTTTGTGCTGATTGGAGTCGACGGTCGAGACATCACCGCTCAGCCGGTGCTGGGGCGGCAGAACCGCTCCTTCATCGTTGATCCAACACTGGACATGTCTGTCAAAGAGCTGGTCAACAGAATATTACCGGTCGCTTCGTACTACTCGACTATAACACGGTAAGAGCATAGACTGTGCCCGGTATGAGCTACTGCTAACAGGCTTAAGTTCACAAATGCACATAATCACTAATGAGTTTTCCAGATGAACTACTGGGACCCTCAAGGTTGATGCAATGCAAAAGAAAAACCCAGCAGCATCTCTTGTAACTAAAATGTTTATTTCACATCAGCTTTGAGTGGAAGCTTCAGTTACGTGACTGCAGTTAACAAAGCTGAGTGACTCAGCTGGCACTCACAAAATCCACACCCCTGACCTTAAGCTTTATTAAACTATAAATGGATATACAAAGAAAAGAGAAGAAAATCATACTGTAAAGTTTTTAGGTTATTACATGAGGAAATTTGCTTTAGAGATCAAACAGTTTTTGTAGCTGTAAAGTTGGAAATTTTAACATTAAAGTCTTTTTTCAGCCCTCCAGATTTCTGCAAAGAGGCAAATATCAGAGTACCTCCAGTCCTGAATATCTGTTCACAAAACAGTTTTTAAATGCATTAAAAGTTCTAACTTTAATTTCCAAATGTCTTAAAATGTGCTGCAGACACAGGATAATGCAGATTTTTTTGCATTATCTTTGAAAGGTTTATTTATATATATTATTTAGACATCTGATACTATGTATGATTTATATGTGCGCCTTAAACACAAAGTATATATTGTAATTGTTTATCTATTGAATCCTTTTATCTATTTTCTGTTGCTCTTTCGCATTCATTTCATATTTAATGATCAATATCAATGGGAGTCACGGTGATTTAGAGCTTGAAAAAAGTGACATAAATATCAAATAATTCAGAATCATATGATCTTTGCTTAAAGGGTCTAAAAGAGATTAAATGTTATAAGATTATTAAAGGTGACGTGTTGCATTTGCCCTCCAGGTTCATTGAGGAGAAGTCATCCTTTGAGTACGGCCAGGTGAACCACGCCCTGACAGCGGCGATGAGGACGCTGATGAAGGAATATCTGATCCTGGTCACTCAGCTGGAGCATCTCCAGCGGCAGGGCCTGCTGTCCCTGCAGAAGCTCTGGTTCTACATCCAGCCCACCATGCGCACCATGGAGATACTGTCATCAATCGGTAAGAAACTGAAGATAACATGGTCGTTGTTTGCAGCCATGATGAATTAAAAGTTGGCAAAGAAACATGGAAAGAAGGATGAGTTAGGGGCGCAGTGATCAGGAGTTGCTGGCGTTCTGGCACCATCCTGGTGCAAAAGGAGGACAAGATGCAAACCAGAGGGTGGAGAAAGTCTCTTGAGAATAGAGTGCTACTTCTCCTTTGCCAGAGTGGACTTGATTTAGATTTCTAACTTAAAGTTGTTTATCTCTGCTTCTGCATACCAGCACAGTTTACTGAATTACAAGCCCTAAAATTTCATCTGCTTCTAAACTGTCTTCAGATGTTGTTTAAAATAAGCTTAAAAATATTTAAACATATGTTTAACAAAGCAAATATTAAGAAAAAATGTTGATCTGTTGTAGAGATATAGAGCTGAATTTGCAGATTAGTGGTGAGGAGGAGTTCTGAATGTTTTCACTTTGTAAACGTTAGTTTGTGGGTCACAGATCGTAGAAGACCTGCAGTCTAAGCTTCTTTAAACGAGCACCAGAGAGTTAATTTGACTGGAAGGTGATCTGACCCACTTTATAAGAGAACTTGGCACATCAAACTGGGTCTAGATTCACCAACGCTGAACACAAACAACACTGAACACTTTGAAAATGCCTGATTAGTGTGGAATCTCACCTATTATAAAACAGATATTTAGTTAAATGATGCTTTCTGTTGTGTTCACAGCGTCCTCTGTGGACAAAGGAGAGTGTATGGGAGGGTCCACGTTGAGCCTTCTCCATGACCGAACCTTTAATTACACCGGTGACAGCCAGGCTCAGGAGCTGTGTCTGTACCTCACCAAAGCAG